GGAGGAAAAGAAGGGATAATAGGCACCAAGCAAGTTAGCAGAACACATTATATTAGCCCTCAAGGCTTTGAAAATAATCCTCTGTTCTCTGAGACCATTTACACAACAGCCCTGCCCTCCAGACTCTAGGCATTGGCCACACTCTCTGGATTCTGAGTGGAGTCCTCTCGGTCCTGGGCTTCAGCTCCGCCTTCCAGGCCCACTGGGACGGCAAATCTGCTCCCTTGGCTTTAGGCGCAGCATTCTCCTAGTCCATCTGAGTGGCAGCTCCACCCTTAGAAATACCAGAGGCCATGGCTCCAACCTTTGAAACCTCAGAGGTCCTGGCCATACCTTTTGAGACTGAGGCAGCTTGGCTTCCTGTATTCCTTGTCTCTTCAGCTTCTGCTTCCTGTGGCCTCTCGGCCCTGGGACCTCACGCCGTCATCTGTCTTGCTGGGGCAAGTGTTCCAAAGCTCTGTAGCTCCACCAATAAGTGCCTGGAGGCTGCCTACTCCGCCAGGAAGCCTCCTGCACACAGGCACTCAGCTCTCTCAATCCATGGGTTGGCTCCAGCACTGTCTGGCGCTGGTCTCCTGGTTTTGCTGCTGCTGGTTCTCTGCTGCTGCAAGGTCTCTGCTGCTTCCAGTCCTCTGCTGCTGCTGCCTTGAATTTGGACTTGTAGCCTACTAGACTGTGAGAGAATAAGATGACTAAGATAGAATTTGGTACCCGGAGTGGGGTGCTGCTCTAACAGATACCTAAAATGTGGAAGCGGTTTTGAAACTGTAAATGGCCAAGCTGTTAAATGATCTGGAATCCATATCATCTGAACAGTGATTGAAAGGATTAGTTATAATGACTTGTAAAAGAAGGGTTTAAAGGTGATCATACAGCTTCTTTCACATGTTTGAGGAGCTTTCCCAGAGAATAGGAATTAAATACATGCCATGTAGGTTGAAACAGGAATAATTAATCGTAGGCAGTAGAAAGAGGTAGACCTCATCCGAATCTGAGAAGAATTCAGAATAGGAAATGGAATTGGACCCCTCAGAAGTCTGTTCCTAATTCTGAAGTGTTCACGAATGCGTAAAGGCCCTGAGGAAGAACGCAGAGGCAAGAGGTGGAGAATATATCCAGAGACACCACATTCAGGAGAATATTTTACAAAAACAGGGGGTCTCTTTTAATGGCTGATTGTAAGTAAGTCTAAGTAATATTATCCTTCTCCAATTCATTTTTCAAGTTACAGAGTGATCTTTTAAAAATGCAAATCTGATCATGTCAGTCCCATTGATTAAAACCTTTCATTGCTTAAGGGTCTTTCAGGCCTGACCCCTGGCTCCCTCACCAGTCTCATCCGGAGCTCTATCTCTCTCTGTATTTTTGTCACACAGGCTTTTTTTCAGTTCCTCAACTATACAGGTTCTCCCTACTTCAAGGTCATTGAACACACTGTCTTCTCTGCTTGCAAAGCTCTCCTCCTCTTCTTGCCTAGGTTACTCCTACCTAAAGGTCACTTTCTCCAGGAAGACTTCTCTGGCAAGCTAAACTAGTTGGGTACCAATATGCAAATTACTCTAAACTGCTTTATCATGATTGTGGTAAAAGCATTCACTGTATGATAGACTATGTCTATCTCCCCTGCTAAAATGTAAGCTTTTTGGGGACAAAGACTTGTTCATCACCAGTTGCCATCAATTTAGTTCCCACTCATAGCAACCTTATGTGTATCAGAGCAGAACTGTGTTCTATAGGGTTGGTTTTCGTTTTTTTTTTATTAAAAAATTTATTTTGTTGTTGTTGAGAATATACATAGCAGAACATACACCAATTCAACAATTTCAACATGTACAATTCAGTGACATTGATTCTATTTTTCAAGTTGTGCAACCATTCTCATCCTCCTTTTCTGAGTTGTTCCTTTCTCATTAACACAAACCCACTACCTCCTAAGGTTCCTATCTTTCTAGTTGCTGTTGTCAGTTTGATCCCATATAGTTCTTAAAAGAGCATCATGTTCATGGCAGATATTTTTTACTTGTTAAGTTAAACTATTGTTTGGTTTTAAGAAGACTTCAGGGAATATTTTTGGTTTAAGGTTTTCAGAACAGTTTCAGGTGTTCATCTAGCCTCATGGCTCCAGAAAGTCTAGAGTCCATGAGAATTCTAAATTTTGTCCTGCATGTTCTCCCTTTTGACCAGGATTCTTCTATGGAATCTCTTTTTTGTTTGTTTATTGTTATAGTTTACCTGAAAGTTTACATTTCAAGTTAGTCTCTTATACAAAAATTTATACATACATTGTTATGTGACCCTAATTGCTCTCTCTATACTGTGACAGCACACTCCTCCTTTCTTCTATGGAATCTTTGATCAAAGTATTCAGTAATGGTAGCCAGGTACCATCCAATTCTGGTCACATGGCAAAGGAGGCAGTTTTTTTATGGAGGCAATTAGCCACACATTCTATTTCCTCCTCCTATTCCTGACTCTTCTTCCTCTGTTGCTCCAGGTGAATAGAGACCAATTGTTGTGACTTGTATGGTCACTTGCAAGCTTTTAAGACCCCAGGCACTACACAATGACCTAGGAGGTAGAAGAGAAGCGCTAAACACGTTATTAGGCCTATTAACTGGAATGTTCCATGAAACTATGACCCTAAACTTCCAAAGCAAGGAACCAACCCTCATGAGGTGTTTGATTGTACATAATGAGCTTCAGCAGCTACTTTTTTTTGTCATTGTTGTAAATATATCTATCACACAACTTTCACCAATTGAATTTTTTACATGTATACAATTTATTGACGGCATTTACAATAATCAGCTCTGCAACCCTACCCTTAATCAATGCGATTTTTCTGTCACCATAAACCGAAAATTGGTACTCCATGAGCAATAACCCCTCCTCCCCTTTCCCCTTCCTTCTCTCCCCTGGTAACCACTAATAAACTTTGGTCTCTATACGTTTGCCTTTTCTGTCTTTTTATATAAGTAAGGTCATACAATACTTGTCCTTTTGTAGTTGACTTATTTCACTCAGCATAATGGCTTCAAGCTCCATCCATATTGTGGCACGTATCAACACTTCATTTCTCCTACTGGCTGAATAGTATCTCATTGTATGTATATAACACATATTGTTTATCCATTCATTTGTTGATTGGTATTTAGGTTGTTAACCACCTTTTGGCTATTGTGACTCCATAGGGTTTTTAACAGCTGATTTTTCAGAAATAGATCACCAGGCCTTTCTTCTGAGGCACTTCTGGGTGAACTCAAGTCTCCAACCTTTCGGTTAGCAGCCAAGCATGTTAACCATTTGTACCACCCAGGGACTCCAAAACCAGTTGCCATCTAGTGGACTCTGACTCATAACAATCCCATGTATGTCAGAGTAGAGCTATGCTCCATAGGGTTTTCAGTGGCTGATTTTTCAGAAGCTGATAGTCAGGTCTTTCTTCTGAGGTGCCTCTGGGTGGACTTGAACCTCCAACCATTTGTCAGCATAGTACCTAGCGTATGACGGGCACAAATATTTGTGAATGGAAGAATAGACTGGTTTTTTTTTTTTTTTTTTTAAAGTTTGAAGTGTAAAAGTGGTCTGATGAAAGAGAATATGTTTGCCCAACTGACATCAGCTTTCTAGTGGTAAAGTTTGAGGAACACCAATATGGTTTCTCGAAAGAGTAGATTTCATGAAAGAAATGGGAGGCAGATTAGTAAATATAAGCAGTAATCAAGTCTTCCATCAAGGTGGAGTCACTATGGAAAATGTGAAGCTTCACAGAAGACAGAAAAACTAGTGAGCCAGGGCATCCTGGTTTAAGATGTATCATTTATTCACTCATTCACAAATATTTATAGAGTGCCTAAAACGCTGGTGGCATAGTGGTTAAGAGCTAAGGCCACTAACCAAGAGGTCGGCAGTTCGAATCCACCAGGCACTCCTTGGAAACTCTATGGGGCAGTTCTATTCTGACCTATATAGGGTAGCTATGACTCAGAATCAACTCAATGGCAACAGTTTGTTTTGGTATTATGTGCCATGGAGCCCTGGTGGCACAGTGGTTAAGAGCTCAGCTGCTAACCAAAGGTCAGCAGTTCGAATCCACGAGGCAGTTCTACTCTGTCTTATAGGGTCGCTAGGAGTCGGAATCAATGGACAGCAACGATTTTCTGTTTTTTTTTTTTTTTTTAATGTGCCACATGGTGACTCCTTGAGTCGGAATTGACTCGATGGCCACTGGTTTGATTTGGTTTATTATGTCTCTGGCCCTGGGGGCTGGGAATTCAGAGGTGAGCAAGTCAGACACAACCCTTGCCCTTAACAAACCTAAACAAAATGAGGAGAAATAGCAAAGTAATTTCCATGAAGTGTGGTAAACGCTGGTAAGGCAAGTATTGGTGTTATGAAATACCTTAGTGGGGGGCAGGAGGGACGGGAATGGGACCGGTAGTCAGGGAAAGTACTGGTGTTATGAAAAACCTAAGTGGGGAGCGGGGAAGGAGGGAAGGGGATGGGATTGGGTGGTCAGGGAAGCCTTTCGGGTTTAGGCTGAGACCTGGAAAATGAGTAGGAAACCTGGCTGTCTGGGGAACCGAAAGAAATTCAATAACTATGATTTGGGGTCCTACAAAGAGATCGAAGGGCATCTTGGCAGATTTGGCTTACAGTGACCCCTGGTGTGAGAGGTTATTAGCTTTGTGAATATTCCCAGGGCGAGAACGATGTGGTTCTGCATTTCAACATTCGACCTGAGCTGGGCTTGCCTCAAATGACTGATTCCTTATTCCCATAGGATCTTACCACTGCAGGGTAGTGCTGGAAGGTGGGGACGACTGTTCGTAGGCACTAGATTCAACATTGAACCCCTCCTCCGGAAGTGGCCCCAGAAGCCCCGCCCATGTCAAGGCACGTTTTTTTGGCTCGGGTCCCAGGAGCCGCCCTCGGCCGCGGCGGCCACGTGACCCGAAGTGTGACGTAGGAGGAAGGAGACGCCATTAGAGGGAGGCGGAGAGGGAACGCTCTTCGCCTTTCCTCCGGTTCCTAACGTAGTGACTGGGGTTCTTCGTTCTCAGACTTGCCCTCAGCTCTTCCAGCCTCGCTCTGAGGAAGGAGCGGAGACGGCGCCTGGGGTCTGCAGGTCCGGTGCGGAGTGGGCTGCGCCGGCTTCTGCTGTGAAGGTTCTGCCGAGGTTGTGGGCAGCTCGGCGCGGCTCTAGGGCTCGTGCGGCGGGGAAGCGACGGGATGGCTGCGCCTGGCGGCGGCGGGGCGGCGGCTGGTCGAGCCTACTCGTTCAAGGTGGTGCTGCTGGGGGAAGGCTGCGTGGGGAAGACGTCGCTGGTGTTGCGGTACTGCGAGAACAAGTTCAACGACAAGCACATCACCACTCTGCAGGTGCGGAGCCCGGGAGGGCGGCCCGTGGTCCCGGGGAGCTGGACGTGGCGCCTTGGCGGTTCCGTGTTTCCGGGCTGTGAGGGCTTTGCTGCCCTGGCATCCCTAGAGCTGGGCTCGCAAATCTCAGGCCTGTCATTGCCGCCTTCGGATTGCCTTTCCTGTACTCGCCTTGGGGCCGCGCAGGGTCAGGGCAGCTTGTAGGCGTGAGGACAGGCTATTGGGAGGAGAGTGGAAGGGCCCTGAAAAGTCCCCAGTGTCCCCCGTGGTGATTGCGCACGTCGTGGAGTCCCCACCGATGGGCTGGTTTTTCCCCTTTGATGCGCTTCCGCTTGGGCCTTAGGTGCCTTCACCCTTAAGTCACCGAGTGTCAGCCCTTTTTCTTTCTTTCGGAATTAGGAATTTATCCGCGGATTTGATTTTGCGAACTAGGTGATTTGTAACTTAAGCTCTTCCTGATGACTAAGTGTTCATGCAAGTTCCATTTTGTCCTGTCTTCGAGTAACGTTCTGATTGGCAAAGATTCGTCTCTGGAGGGTTTTTGAAATGACCGCTTGCTCGTGTGGATTACGCAGTTAATTTCATAGCTGCCTGCGCGGATCTGACTTGTGGGTCACTCATATTCTGCGAGGTGGGTCGACCCACATGGAAACGTCATGTAAATACTTGCCAACAATTGGTTCCCAAAATAAAGCTTAGTTGCTGATGCTATTTATTTCCTTTACCTGTAATATAGGGCCGGCTTTCTTTTGCAGTTACATTACAGTTAGAAAAGTGTTAAAATGCAATCGTTAATTGGGAGTGAAGGCAGGCATTTGATTCCCCCCCTCCCCCCGCAGTCAGTTCACACGTGTTAGAAGAAAAATCCTAGTATTCCAACTTGGTCAATTTAGTCAGAGGTAGTAAAGTCTATTGGACATTTAAGCCGGACTGTGTAGGCTCATATCTCACCTCCATCATTTAACTAGCTGTTTGACCTTGGGCAAGTTACTTAACCACTCTGTGCTTGAGTTTCTTTGTTAAAATGGGGATAATAATAGTACCTAGCTGATAGGACAGTTGTCAGGACAGATATATACGAAAGCACTTAGGACCTGGCCCAGTGTAAGTTCTCTGTTGTTACTACTCCACATGTACAATAGATCTTAATTAGTGACTGTGTAGTGTGCAAGAACATGGACGCTGTTTAACAGAATAGCCGATCCCCTAATTGTTGTGACATTTGATGTTTGGTGCTATTATTAAACTACTGAGTCTAGAATTTACAAAGATGTTCGGATTCTGATTCCATGTTCTATTTTTACTCCTGTGTAAAGCATAATATCTCAAAGGTATATGTCAGGAAACTGCATGTTTTTATTAAATGCTTGTAAAAGAGCATGTATAAAATTTTAATAGTTTATAGTCATTGTTGAATGCCACTAGTGAAAGCCTTGTGTTTTGGATCAAGGAAATTTGTAGGATAAATACCTGTGATCATTTGGATGTTTACAAATTTAAGGAGCCCTGGTGGCACAGTGGTTAAAGTGATCAACTGCTGACCGAAAGGTTGGCGGTTTGAAACTACCGGCAGCTCCTCGGGGGAAAAAGATGTGGCAGTCTGCTTCCGCAGAGATTTACAGCCTCCTATATACCCTGTGGGATCACTATGAGTCAGAATCGATCCGATGGCAGTGGGTTTTAGTCATTGTTGAATGTCACTAGTGAGAGCCTATGTTTTGGATCAGGAAATTTGTAGGATAAATACCTATGATCATTTGGATGTTTACAAATTTATTTAGGTAAAGTAATTATAGCTAACATTTAGTGAGTTCTTATTGTACTAAGTACTTCATACAACAGCCTATGAGGTGGATAGTTTTATTAGCCCCATTTTACAGATGAGGAAACAGACTTGGTTAAATTGAGTAATTTGCTGGCAGTGATAATGCCACAAGTCATTGTGCTTTATGTGGTCCAAGCCTAGTTTTGAACCCAGGTATGATTTTAGATATTGAACAATTGATTCACAGTCTCTGGATACTGGTAAACAATCCATTTAGCTTTTTTTTTTTTGTGCTACAGATTTAAGATAGAAAACCATTATAATTTAGTTAAAAAATTTTTAAATGATAATTTAGCCCTTCAACCTAAAAATTAAGCTTTCATTATCGTAACTTTCTAAAACATCATGGAAGCTAAAAGCACACTAAAGGATTTTAAACATTTGAGAGAAGCCACTGCATTCTCCTGGAGAGGGTAAAGTTACGGTAGATCACCAGTATGAAAAGCAAGCCTGTGGCCTTCGAGTCGATTCCAACTCATAGCGACCCTATAGGACAGAGTAGAACTGCCCTATAGGGTTTCTAAGAAGCACCTGGTGGATTCAAACTGCCGACCTCTTGGTTAGTGGCCTTAGCTCTTAACCACTATGCCACCAGAGTTTCCAAATCAACAGCAAGCAGTCCTAATTTTGATATTCATGTAACTCATCACAGTGTCTGGCTTATATTACAGAATAGCACACCAGTGTATGGAAACAGTACTATATCTAAATTCTTTCTCTTCAATATTAGTTCATCTCGTTTTTCCTAATCTTTTTTTTTCCCCCAGAGAAATTTGACTAATAAGTCAACCTTGTGTGTTTTTAATTTCCAAATGGAAGGGAGATCTGTTTGTATTTCTTGTATCAGAAGATATAGTCTTGTCAACAAAACTACCCATATTTGTACAATACACTGTTTTGTAAAGTACACTCTCAGCATTTGTATTTCAGAGAATCTTAGGACTGGCAGGAACCTGAGGTAGTTTATGGTTCACTACTTCAGTCTTTTATTTAATATTCCAGTCAAGTGATTGTCCACTTTTGTTTGAACATCTTGGAGTGAGATGAACTGATACAGAAAGTGGAAAACTCACTATATCCTGAGACGGCCCATTTCATTTTTAGACAGGCCTAATTTCGAATAAGTTTTTTCCACATGTAAAGCCAAAATCTGTTTCTCTGTAGTTTCTAGTACTAGTTCTGCCTTGCCTTGTTCTCACATGACATCTCTTCTGATAGTTGAAGATAGCTGTCAACATCCACTTGTCTTTTCTTGGGTAAACAGCTCTGGTTCCTTTAACTGAATCTCTTATAACATTATTTTAAAAGCTTTCATCATTTTGATCTCTTTTTTCTAGACACCATTTAATCATTTTTCTTTCCTTTAAGTTTGATGCGCGCAGCTGATTGTACTGATGCACTGAAATGATTCCAGGTGTGGTTTGAACAGAACAGGGAAGTGTAGGCTATCATCTCTGTTGAGAATCCTTTTCTTATGATGAAGTTAGAAAAGATTCTGTGAGCTTTTGGGACAGCTGTCACATCAATTAATACTGGGCTTGCTGTCAATTAAAATGTCTTAGCCTTAATTTCTTAAAAAAAGATTACATCCCTCAAATTCTGTGATATTAAAGTTTTTTTTTATCCCGAATTTTTTTCTTTTTATCCCTAATGTTTTTTGACTTGATCTTTCTAAATTTGCTCCAACAGTTAGACCTGTTAATGTCCTTTTAAATCTTGATTCTACAATTCAAGAAACATTGATTGTGCTCCTTTGAGTCAGGCACTGGATTGGGTTCTGGACGTGCAAAGAGGAGTAAGACATGATCTCTACTGTCTGGATTACCTACCAATTTTAACTTTGTCACCTAGAAATTTGATAAAAATGCCTTCAGTGTTCTCATCAGGTTATTAACAAAGACGTTAAAAGAAAGGGGAGAGAGAGGGCCAAGTACAGAACTCTGCAGCAACTCTCACTATAGTCCAGTGATGCATGACCAAACCAAACCGACTGCTGTCAAGTCAATTCCAGCTCATAGCAACCCTATAGGACAGAGTAGAACTGCCCCATATAGGGTTTCCAGAGCTTTAAATCTTTACTGAAGCAGACTGCTACATCTTTCTCCCATGGAGCAGCTGGTCAGTTTGAACCATGGACCTTTTGGTTAGCAGCCAAATGCTTTAACCACTGCGCCACCAGGGCTCCTGATGCTTGACTAGAGGTGCGTTAATCCTTAGGAGTGCAGAATCTTAGAATGGGACTTTTTCAGACTATACATGGGCTGCAGCCCATCCGCTGGAGTGAGAAACACAGTTGTTAATAGGGAAGCAGAAAAGCATTTAAAACTGACTGCTGTGAGCCACTGCCTACTGGACACAAATCCTTTAATGAAAGCAGTTATTCCAGCATTACAAATGTCCTGGCTTTTTTTGCCTTAGCCACATCAGTCTTGCCCACAGGGGATATCATGAGATGTTTTGTCAAATGCTTGCAGCAGACAAGGTAATGCTTGTTATGTTTACTAAGTACCCAGATCTATGAAGAGGCCATATGTGTTGTGGAAAGAGAAAGAACTTTGAAGTTAAACTTTGGTTTAAATTCTGACTCCCACTTCATAGACATTATGATCTTGGCACGTTATTTTAATGTAGTAAATTGGATTCTTATCTATAAGATGGGACTACCTCCAGTGAATAAAGGAGACTGAAGAAGAATTGATACCTTTGAATTATGGTGTTGGCGAAGAATATTGAATATACCATGGACTGCCAGAAGAATGAACAAATCTGTCTTGGAAGAAGTACAACCA